AATTGAAAGTATAATAGGAACTGAATGTTATAACAAAGAAGACGTGATACGTCTAAGTCAAGGTATTGTTAAGATTCTAAATGATGTTGCCGACAAAATGACTCCTAATAATAATACAAAACAAAATAGGAAAAAGCGCCAAAAATACCGAGGAAAAAAGGCTCGGATGAAACCCAAAGCACCCTGGTTTGATGCTGCGTGCATCAATAGCAAGCGAGAACTGAATCGTCTCGCCAAGTCATACGGAAAAAACCCGGCAAGCCAATATCTTAGAAACAGCTACTATGAGAAACGTCGTCTTCACAGAAAACTCATCAAACTTAAGAAGTCATCCTTCTTTAAAGAACTGTGTAGTGATATTGAATCAGGTGACAATATTAATTGGGCAAGATTCAAGAAACTTAAAGAACTGAAGACAGAAGGTAGCAAACTTGACGTCTTTGACATGCTAAACTTCTGCAAATTCTTTAAAGATCTATATGGCAAACCTTCAATCGATGAAACTAGAATCGAGCAACTGCAGAACGGGATGACTAGGAGTAATTTGCAGTTGGAACTCTCTGAATCTCTCGATCAAAACATAACACATGAAGAACTCCTTAGATGCATCAACTCCCTTAAAAGAGGCAAAGCGGTTTCCGAGGATTGTGTCCTGAACGAATTTCTTAAATCTTCGAACATGAACATGCAGACCGCTATCTTACACTTGTTCAATCAGTGCCTCTCTTTTGGTGTCTACCCCTGGAGCACCTCAGTCGTAACCCCACTGCACAAAAAAGGTAGTATATACGACCCAAACAACTACAGAGCAATTGCTGTTGCTAGTAATATCGGGAAGCTATTTTCTGGTATACTTCTACAGCGCCTGATCAGTTTCAGAAATCTTGCTTGTCCTGACACCTCGAATCAACTAGGGTTCTGCAAAGGAGCACAAACTGCTGACCATATGCTAACCCTTTCAACATGTGTAGAGAAGTATATATCAAAGAAGAAAGAGCGAGTCTACGCGTGCTTCGTCGACTATGCCAAAGCTTTCGACACAGTTTGCAGAGAAGCTCTCTTATACAAGATTTGGCACTTAGGAATACAAGGCCGATTCTTCAGCTGTTTGAAACACATGTATACTAACTCATCAGCGAAAATTAAACTCTTGAACAAACTGTCAGAAAGGATTGATGTTCTTTGTGGCACAGAACAGGGTCACCCAATGTCTCCTGAACTCCTTAAGATATTTATCCATCAGCTCTCTGAAGACCTTAACGAGCTGGAAGAAGTTGAAGTGCCTATCATCAATTCGACACGAGTAACTCACTTACTCTGGGCTGATGATCTAATACTGCTTGCCCTAAATTCGATGAGTCTCCAGAAAATGCTCAACACTCTCGAATCCTACTGCCTTGAGTGGGGCTTGTCAGTTAACATATCTAAAACAGCTATCATGGTTTTCAACCGTGCTGGGAGGATACTAAAAGAAAGCAAAAACTTCACTTACGGCCAAATATCCATCTCCTCTGTCCGAGAATATACCTACCTCGGCATAACATTTACTCTTACTGGAAGTCTGAAGCTAGCACAAGTGAAATTGAAGCAGAAAGCTATCAGAAGCTACTTCTCACTCAAAAGTATGATTGACCTACAGTCAATTAAGAAAACTGTGATATTTAAGCTTTTCGACGCCTTAGTTCTCCCTATCGCCTCTTACGGTTGTCAGATATGGTTACCCCAGACCAAATTCACGACGGCATTCTCTTCCCGGAACAAGTTCCCTCAACTCAAGGAAATTGCCGAAGATCAGATCGAGAAAGTTCACCTCTCCTTCTTAAAGTGGACTATAAGCGTCGGCAAAAGAACCTCCAATGCAGGAGTGTGGGGCGATACGGGTCGATACCCTCTTGCTATTGAGGCCAGTCCCCAAGTATTTAACTATGTTCGAAGACTAGAAAGCATGGAAACTTCCAGATCGGACGCCCTTGTTCGACATGCTTTCACAGAACAAAAGAAAATGGGCCTATCATGGTACTCCGGCATTACGTCGATGAATCAATTTCTGGCAGAAACGAACGAAAGGCAACTATCACCCATTCAGAAACGAGATGTTCTCCGTTCTTGCTTTAGAACGCAATGGGATGAAGAGAGACAGCTCAACAAAAAACTTGGATTTTACAATTCGATTAAATCAAGTTTTGGTTGTGAAAAATACCTCTCTCTCTATCTTCCATATAACCAGTCAAAAAGACTAGCCCAAATAAGGACTAGCTCTCACCGCCTAAATATCGAAACGGGACGCCATGGACAAGTCAGAAGAAACAACATCCTAAATCGTATCTGTCCTACATGTTCCACTAAGGACAAGAACTCTCTGGAGTACATGGCAGAGTTACCCTTCTTTGATCCCATAATTGAAGATGAGGTTCATGTGCTTAGAACCTGCCCCCTCTACCAAGACAACAGGGACCGCCTTAGCCCTGAAGCTAAAACCAACCTCTTCGAGGGAATGGATCTCATATTCACCCAACCAAAGCTTTTAAAAGAGATTGCTAAATTCTTAGTTAATATTGATGCACTTCGTTTCCCGAGAGACTTAGCTTAAATTATGATATTTGTTTCTTCACGGTTTTCGTATCTGATTTCTAGGTTATGATTTCATTCTTGTATTGTCAAGCCAGGAGTGTTAGGGCTTCTCTTGACCAATTAACGTTTAATCCGTTTAATCCGTTTAATCCTGGAATTGGATCGTAGTGCGACACGTATAACTGTAGTGCGAAAGAGGGTGTTTTTGTCGGACTTCGCACTAGAGCTGTACTTGTCGCACTAGAGTAAGTGTCGCACTACAGTACGATTACCCAATGCAGTGCCGTGTACAGTAAATGAATCCATAAATTTGGAACATAGGGACATCAAAGTATTTATTAACTGTATTTGAGTGCTGGGAATCCTCAATTCGGTTTTCTAAGATGGATATTATAGCTAAAAACTAGGCCTGCTCGACACAAATTCAGTAACCGTATTTTAGACTCAAATACGGTTTGAGACTCAAATTTTGAGTGTACAGCTAGTAAATTTGTGTCAATATATCCAGTAGCGGGCTGTTTGTAGTACAGCGGGCCAGCGCCGGTAGATGATATTTGTTATCCCGCTAATACAGCACGTGCTGATATAGCCCGCATAATATTTGTCCAGAAGCGATATATCCCACGAACCGAATAGGAGTTGCACTTTATTTTTGGTGCCAAAAAATCTGAACAGTGTTATTGATCCACACTTACACACTAGTTAATAGTTCCCACGGATATATGTGGATAAGGAATGTATCTGAGCTCACCTTATCTATCGGTCCCTTATATATCTCTATATCAGTTATCACGCAGGTTGCCATGATTGGCTCATAATTAACACGTGACACAATGTTACTACGGTTACCAAATTCGTGGCGACGTAAATTCGCTGATCTCGTGTTACGGGTTGGGCACAATCTAGGGGGCAGAAAGGAGCTGATGTCTTTCACCAGCTTGCTGAAATCATCGGCTCCGAAGGGCAAGGAAAAGGCAAAGCCGAAGATGGGATCGTTGCAGGGGGCCTCGCCACTCACAGCCCCACAAACTACATCGGCATCCTTTTCTCCACCTGGCCGATCAGCCTCTCTTCCTCGCTCTCCAGCCGCTATCCATGGTCAAGAGAGGAGCAAGAGAGGTTTGGGGACCCCAACTAAGAACTATCCTGTACCAAAGTATAGGAACCCCCTTCAGTTGTTCAGGTCCCCAAAGAAGGTAGAGCACTCTCCTAACAAAAACTCAAGTCTGGACACACCAGCATTCCGACTTGATGACGAGATTGGCATGACAGTCAAGATCGTCAACAAGAACGTGAAGAAACCAGGTTTCACCCCGTTCTGATGAAGATTATATGTGATATTAGACACTGATCATGTACACATATTTTAACATTTTTAATGCTTACCGACTGCTTTTCTTGCTTACTATATGAAAAATAGATTTTAAAATCATTATTTGGGAAAATGGTTTTCGTCATCTGAACTCGAGATCTTTCCTTCACGAGCCCGATAATAAGCTGAGAACTAGTGGCGAGAGACTGGTGCCACTCGATAAGCCGGTATAATTGCATCTATGACATTCAAGTACATTTAAAAGCAATTTGCCCTTGAGTATGATAATTATAACCAGTTTAATCTTGTTCAGCGTACTCGAAAACATAGGGTTACAAGGTTTTCGCTTCGATTTTCATCCATAAAAAGTCCTTATATTTTCAATTCTCTGCCGGCCAGCTGTGTTTAATAATAAATTAGATGTCCCTTACACGCACCTAGCGTAGACACCTTACACAAGTTACATAGCACCCTATTGGCTCTGCACAGTCACGTGTGCAGTGACGTGGGCTAATCAGACAGACGCACTCTAAACGTGATCTCTCCTGCTATAACCAAAACAAATCTCCTTCATAACGTCCATTGGACGCGCGCCAGTCACGTGCGGGCAGTCACGTGCAGCGTGACTGCCAATCAGATTTTGTTCTATTTTGAGCTGTGCTCTTATTATGATCTATTTTAGTCTGTGCTCGGGTCCTTATTTTACTTCCTACTTGTGTGGCCAATTGTAAGGCCAACTTTAAGTATTGAGTGGTAAAACGTCCAACGATCAAAAGTCGGAAGATCAAATGTTGTGAACACCCGAGTGTTATTATTATATAGGGTATTACTATATTGCTTCGTCTTCTACTCCCCAGTCCTCAGATTCGAGTTCGGTTACGTTTACAATCTGATAGACAAATTTGTTACAGATTTCTCAAAAGGTGCCTCGTTGGTTCAGGTTGTCTTCCCTATTTCGCTTCTTAGATTTGTTAGATCTTTAGATAAACAATTTCATACAAGTGGACTGCTTCAAAAAATAATTTCAAAGATGTGTTTTTCTCATAAAACTGAAGCACTGATGACCCAGGTTTACAACTAGTGAACTAGCATGCGGCATATTTTTGTTAAAACTTACATCGTCTTTAATCTTGTTCTCCAATATCCTGAGATCTTCTTTTTCTTTTTTCAGGTCCTCTCTTCCCTTCTCAATACGATCCGTCTCCTCCATCAACTGCTGGAACCTTGATTCAAGTTCAGCGTCCTGGCACAAATAAGGGTTAAATGAGCCCAGCAGCATATTCGAAGGATTTCTAAAGTTTTCAAAAATGACAGATATTTATACCCCAGTCATTTTTGAAAACTGTATACCTGTCACAATATATAACAAGTCGTTATATACCTGTCTCTTTTGAAAACTTTAAAAATCATGAAATATATTTCACAAGACAATAATTGGCGATTAAATACAAGAGTTCACAAGATCAGTAAGAACTAACGTGTGCGTCGGAGTAATTTTGTCGCTCTTCTTTGCACGTGCAATCTTCCAGCGCGACCATTTGCTCGGTCAACGTGAGTTGTTGGGTTTCTACTGCCTTACGGAGAGATGCTATCTCTTCTTCTGCCTCTGGTGGAAATCAGAATCAAAATAATGGGCAGCGAATTGAATTGAAAAAGTACAACGATGGTTTAATCACAGAGACCAGAGTAACAATAAAATAAATTAAAGTATAAGCTATGATCTACTAAAAGAGAAGAAGTGTTAACCTTTGTTACAAGCCATACGGCGATGTTTTTCCTTAATAAGTTCGATCTTATCGTCAATAGAGCTCTTAAAGGTGTTCTGTACGACGGTGTAAGGCATGTTGATGTGAGATATTATCTTTGGGTCCAGGTCCACTTCCTCCAAAAAGCTCTCATCCTTGTCACCGGAGTTCAGGACGTTGATCAGCTCTGTTTCCAGACTCGCCAAGCTATGGGAAATTATGAATGATCAATAAAAATATGTAGGAAAATGCTAGGATAACATTCAAAGATATAGCGAAGTTATTGAATTTCGTTGTTTGATGTATTGATGGAACGGATATTACATTCTTGAATTTCAAAACAAAAAAGTAAGTTTTCCTAATCACGTACCAGTGTCTGAGGTGGTCGTTCTCCTCAAACAGCTCCTTATTTCTCTCCTCCTGCTCCTCTACAAGCTGTTTGTACAGCTCCTCTCTAGGGTCGTCTCCCCACTGGGCCCTCCGTCCGGTCGTGGTCCGGGGCATTGTGTTCAACACTTGCTGAGTTCCTGGCAGGTTTTATTGGCATGGTGTCAGATCGAATAATACATTTTCTACCACCTTCAAGAATTTCGGATTAAAGATTAATTATCTGCGAAAACAAATTAAATATGGGTTTTTTAATTTGTTTTCGCTGATAATTATTCCCATATTAAACTAAAAACGTCAAATATTGCATGAAGGGGAAATTTTAGGAAAATGAACGAATGGACGATAAGTTACTCTTTTGAGACACCGGTGATGTAGTTTTACGGAAGGAAATAATATCAATAAAATGCTTACCTTTTTCGGTCTTCTTTTCCATAATTTTCTTGGATAGACGTTCCTTCATCTGTAAGGTTTCGCGCTCCTTTTTCCTGATGTCGTGATTGAAATGGTCTTGTTTGTGCTCCATCATCAGTGTGAGCCGCTTCATCTGAAGATTTGAATTACATCAATTGAGACAAATATAATGTTTCCCCAATTTTTGCTTCATAATTGCCAAATTTGATAAAAAATGTATAAGATCGCGCGGTTTAAAAACGGTCAATCTGTAAATGATCTACAGATTATGAAAGAATTCTTCCTTGGTCGCGGATAATTTGAATTATTGATTAATTGGTTAATTAGTATCTAATGGTGACCAGACAATTAACTTAATAAGATGAGACACTAAACAGTAAGTGTCGGGTTTAAATTAAAGATGTAAAGACAATAAAGATGGAATGGTGGAAGCCGAAAACCAATCATGAATTATGACTTGTTTATCCAAATAAAAAAGCGAACAAATAAAGTGGTCAGTAAAACTACACAGATCTCTAGAGATATGGAACAGTTCGTTTATTCGCTTTGTTAATCTGCACAGATCTCTAGAGATATGGAACAGTTCGTTTATTCGGTTTGTTAAGTTCTTACCACGACTTCTGAAACTTCGTATGTTAATACACATGATGTACAGATAGGAGACCCGAACTCTTGACCGGACAAACTTTCTGAAGCTCGGCAAAGTCAGACTATAGATGTAGAAGTTGCTTATGGTGTTCAGAAAAACAAACGACGTTGCTAGTCTGTAATAAGAGGTGTGGAAGAAAGTTTCGCTCTTATCATCAACAATGATAATGAACTTTCCGGCAGCGTAGAAAACAATTGGAAGTACAGAGGTGCAGTAAACAGCAGCGGTAATGACCGCTGTCATGATACCTTCTCTCTTTAAATTTTCTCTGCCTCTGCGAGCAACTGTTCTCGCTGTCATCAGTAGCAAAATAGTGGAGACTACGACCAGACAAGTTGGGATGGCACCGAATAGAAAAGCAAGAAAGGGCCCGAGCCATTGCCAAATGTCGGATGAGTAACCATAAGTGCATTGGTACCTTCTGTATGAAAAGTAAATATCTTGCCCGTCCACCAGAAGGAATGTGGCAGGATAAGTTAAAGCTGCTATCCAGCATACCGAGCACAACACGTGGGTATTCTTCAATGTTATCGTTCCTGATCGGAGGGGGTATTTCAGGAGGAACAGCTTGCTAGTTGTCAAAGCAGAGATAAGAACAGAGCTAACCAGACCAAAATAAAATCCTGAGTATGAAGATATGTAACAGAGGAAGTTTCCAAAGATCCATTCACTGGATATGATAGAGATGAGTTTAGGGAGTGCGTTGGTAAGAGCCACGGTTAAGTCGCACAGCGCTATGTGTTGGATTATGGACACGATTACTTTGTGAAGTTTAAAGGCCCTGTAATGTATGGATGCAAGGAGAATGAACGTATCTCCTACTAAACATGAGACGATGATGAATAGGAAGTATCCTGTCCAGATGTACCGTGAGGAATCACTTTCAATTCCATAGACAGTTCTGTTGCTGTACTCGCGGTCTGCAATCGTAATTTTTGCTTTTTAGAGTATCTGGAGTAATTCAGCTGGTCAATTAACCGTTATCGTCGTCATTAGGGGCTTTAAGTTACCTCCTACGGAATAAGACATATGCATAATGGGGGGGGGGGGGGGGGGGGGGATGCAACACCGCTGACACATTTTAAGGTATTTGAGGTAACCAAGCTATTCAATTAATCTTCAATTTTCTGGAGATTGTCTTAAAATATGTGTTAATGCTTTCAAGTACCATTAAATATGTCTTAATGCTTTCAAATACCATTAAATACTCGCAAGGACCAACAAATTCCTTCAAATAAATTAATATGTACAAAAACATTTGAAGTGTATGGCTAAGCTTCCAGGCCAAATTAGCGAAATGAACTTTTAGTTTTCATATTATGTAGAGTTACTGTAACGTTGTAACTTACACTATACTCAAGATCCCCATATCCCTAATTGGATCCACTAATTGAAGCCGTTAACGGATTGGCCGAGTCTTAATGGATTGTTTAGCAATAGAGGGGTTTCTACTACTTCTTAAATTAACTAAATATTTAAAGAAACCCACCCACTTCCAAATAATTGGTCACTAGGCTGGATTCACGTAATCTAGTTCGACAACTAAAGTTCGCTAGAAATCACCCCTGTCAAACTTCGGTACTGAACAAGAGAGGAACTGGAGTACGTGTACCCAGAATTGTAACGAAAGCAACAAATTTTAACGTCAAGCCGCTGATTTTATGCCCCATTTTAACACATTTAAGTGCGCAGGTTGTAACTAATGTGAGCGATGTACTAGGAGTTTTGTCAAACCTTTTACCGTGTGTGACGTCACCAATTAGATCCAAATACAATTACACTATTCTATAAAACAGCTTCTTTTATAGAACAATGCTTTTGTGGAATGCATTGCCAGCCTATGTTAGACAGACTGAGAAAATTTCGACACCGGTATGGGTCATTCACCGTCATTCACCGTTTTATCGTGGCCAAATTCCGTATAACTATTCTAATTAACCTTGATAAGTGGTTATCACTGCACACGATATCATTGAAAATTGGCGGTAGATCGGGGTTTTACTGTAATTTACTAAAATAGATGTATAAAATAATATCAAAAATGTATCACCTGACACGATCAACAACATACACTCGTCAGTCAGTCAGTCGAGGGAAGAGTTGTTCGTCAGATGACCATTTGTGGCTTCTGTAAATAATAATAGACCTTCTGCTCACGAAAAAATCTTTAAAAAGCTTTGAGTTTCGGAAAAATTTCCTGGATCAATTAGTGTGAATTTTGGAAATTTACAACCCATTACCGCAGGACATCGATGATCGACAACTGAAGAGATATTTGCAGTCGTTGGAGGTGCAATTTTGAATTTTAAAATCTTTTTTTTTCTCAAAAACCTAAACGCGCCCTAATGCGCGTTGGCGGCAAAATTTCAAACTGTAGAGGAAAAACAGCCGCGCTTTCCATTAAATTATAAAGTAGACCGTTTATAATTAATAAGTCAACTTTTGGGTCGGATGAATATCAACAGTAAACAGAATATCAACAGTAAACAGTATCTTTAACTGGCATGATTTCACATAATAACTTAAATTGTTGTTGATTCTAACCTCATCTTCTTCTTGTTTGAGTCTGGAGGCGAGATGTTTGTTTTTGACTCGTGTTTGTCGTTCCTTTTCTCCGACTGCTGTCAGCTCCCGTTTGACTGCCTCTAACTCCCCCTAAAAATAATGTTATGATGATCAATTATTTTGGAAGTATTAATGATGAATTTTGTGATTACTGTAAACTGTATTGAATCTACATCTTATGACTTACTGAATCAAATTACCAAAAATAGGAAGACATTTAGTGTAGGATACACTATGACACGTTAAAATGACGGGTCACTACCCACCGTCGGGTAACTACTCAGTTGTAAGATTTCATTAATCACATTGCTGTAACTACTCACTTCATGTTCTCTACACTAACTTACAAGTTGTGGCTATGATTTTACGGTTAGCGAACGAATAGAAGAGACTGATTTTACCTTGAGTAATTTGTACAGGTGGGGACTGTAATATGGCAGGATTGTTACAATCTTTTACAAAGTTGAAAATCAGAAAACGCTGATCGGCGGTAAATTGCACAGTAAGGATTGGGGCGGTGAACTGCAAAGATACAAATTTATAAATTACAGTTTCATCATGCCATCATGTGTGGTTCACATGGGAGTGCTAACTGACAAGAAATCTTTGAAGTCAAAGAATCATCTTCAAGTTCCTTGTATATGTGACTGGTGAGGGGTGAAACAATGATGACACCTGTTACGAATCTTACAAAGGACAATTACTGTTCAGCCTACTTATAACTATATAACTATATATAACTATATAACTATATAAACCCCCGATAACCCATTCCCAAATCATTATAACATCATGTTAAGGCCACAGGGGGGGGGTCCGAGGTCGAAAAAAACGTTTTTTGCCAGTTGGAAGACCACGTACTATCTGACGCTTGCACACCACCCCCAGAGCGCCTAGTTTGTCGTAAAATTGAGGTTAACTATTGCCTTTTTAATCAGTTAACCTCACAAATAACCAGTTCTTAACATTTTGTTGCTCTCATCACAAGTTAAACTTATCAATGGGTATCAATTGGCCATCCAATGTGAACAGAACTATTATATGTCCTTTATTTGTTGGAAAATTGAGGTTAACATATTTTCTCAGAATCAATCTTTTGACTCTCCTGAACAATTTATTACCACCTCAAAAACCTATCTTCTCCTAGAGCTTTTATCCATTTCACCTCAAATTTGGAACTTATGTTCCTGACATAAATTTAAAAGTTTGTTATGTAACGATTGTTATAATTTTGCTCCTAACTATTTTTATGAGGTTAACCATTTTAAATTTTGTAACCCGCACTCATGGTTAACCTCATATCTCAGCATTGGAGCAAGATATCACAAATCGTTACATAACAAAAACTCAAAATACCTTGAAGAACATTGTTGCCAAGTTACAAGGTTCTAAGTCATAAACTGAAAAAGAAGATAGATTTGAACACAATTTCATTTAAAGTTTTCATTTACAATAGAATTACAGGTAAACCTCAACATTCAGCGCGCGATATCTTCAAATAGGAAACTTTGTTTTCGGTAAGGACAAAAGCATTTGAAAATTTAGATCGAGCTCTACAACATATCTCAAAATCTCAAGATTGACCTCGGACCCCCCCCCCCCCCCCCCCCCCCCCCTTGGCCTTAACCTCTGTGATACTCATCCTATCAGCTCTAACCCTCTCTCAAGCTGAAGCAAACTACCCTTACTGGCCCAAACACTTCAGATGGAGCTACGCAGGAGCAATTCCCGGATACGACTGTCTTTTAGTCAACGAACCAGGGGACCCTCACTACTGGGCGAACAACTACCTGTGCTGGGAGACGGGCTGGAAGAACCCCGGATTTAGGTGGAGTTATTCCTGGAATGCGGTGTACTGCAGTTAATGAACCGGGTGATCCCCATTATTGGGGGAATAATTACTTGTGTGCTCCAAGTGATTCTCCTTATGATTTTAGTTTCTCCCATGCAGGCAAAATCCAGGGTAAAGGGTGTGTTTTGATGAATGAGCCTGGAGATCCGCATTATTGGGAGAATAATTATCTGTGTGCAGAGTGCTACTGTGGGTGCTAAGGGTTCTTTTTAATTTTGTGTGTGTTGTTAACTTAAACTTTCGTTTCATTGTGTTCAAATTCATATAAATGAAGGTAAAAATAAAGAAGATCAAAATTTCCGTTATTCGATCTGGAGAGTCAAAAATTGTTCCGTAATTAAATTGCTATTTTAATCGAATATTTATTCATTAATGGTGACAATCAAAAACTTAACGTAAAGATTGTATTTAAAACATTCACCGGACCAGCCACCTCCACCACGTGGTGTCGCCCTAAGTTGGTTTACACCACCCAGTACCACGTGGTGTCGTTCTAAGTTGGTTTACACCACCCAGTACCACGTGGTGTCGTCCTAAGTTGGTTTACACCACCCAGTACCACGTGGTGTCGTCCTAAGTTGGTTTACACCATCCAGTACCACGTGGTGTCGTCCTAAGTTGGTTTACACCACCCAGTACCACGTGGTGTCGTCCTAAGTTGGTTTACATCACCCAGTACCACGTGGAGTCGTCCTAAGTTGGTTTACACCACCCAGTACCACGTGGTGTCGTCCTAAGTTGGTTTACATCACCCAGTACCACGTGGAGTCGTCCTAACTTGGTTTACACCACCCAGTACCACGTGGTGTCGTCCTAACTTGGTTTACACCACCCAGTACCACGTGGTGTCGTCCTAAATTGGTTTACACCACCCAGTAACAAGTGGTGTCGTCATAAGTTGGTTTACACCAGATGTCTGCTGTCAGATGAGAACAAACCAATGTTGCCTCATGAAAAATGCAGTAAATACATACGATCTACTTAAGCAACAATGCATCACCATTCACCAGGTGAGATAATCTGATTTGTTAGCTAGCCAACACACAAAAAACCGAAGGAAGGTCGAGAATATGCTGAAAATTAACGCTATAAGAGAACATTTGTAAAGAAATTTTTGTAAAGAAATTGATTTGTAAAGAAACTTTTCTCTGGCTATTCTCACAACATCATGTTAAAGTTTTTCCTGTGTTCTTTTCAAAGAAACTTTCCTCTGGCTATTCTCACAACATCATGTTAAAGTTTGTCCTGTTTTTTTCAGCAGCCCTGATCTCAACCCAAGCTGCACTTAACTACCCACACTGGCCAAAACAATTCAAATGGAGCTATTTGCCAGGACCTCTACCCGGACACGATTGTATGACAATTAACGAACCAAGTGCTCCACCCCACTGGCAAGACAACAAACTCTGCTGGGAAACTGGTTACAAGAATCCTGGCTTGAGATGGAGCTATGTTGGAGCTATTCCTGGAATGGAATGTACGAGAATTTACGAACCAAGTGAACCAGAGAACTACCATTGGGGAGACAACTACCTACATGTGTTCCTAGGGACTCCCCTTATGATTTCGCATTCTCCTATATTGGGAGGATTCTTGGAAAAGGCTGCATTTTGATTGAGGAACCGAGTGATCCCTATGATTGGAATGATAACTACCTTTGTGCTGCTATTGGTGCTGGACCCTCGCTCTCATCATAGAGAAGAACTAGAGAAGAAGATAGAAATTTTTGGAATATCTCAAATATAATATAACTTTTTAGCTCGTAACCTTGGTGCTTGATTTTATTAACAATTTGAATTATACTGAAGCTAAATAAATAATGACGACTATTCTAATAACGTACTACGTGTTGCCCAGTCTAGTAGCAGTGTTTCTTATAACCAGGAAACGGGCACACTTAACACATTCCATATAATGGAATGTAGTGAGAACACAGCTTACTGTGTGGTGGCAAGTGTAACTACACTGTGTATCACTGGATACTATACCGAGAGTGTGTACATCGTGTGTATTTTAACGAACATTTTCCGCATTTTTCTTTGGGTTTTTGAAACAAAAAATCAGAACAGATCACATAGGAGATCACATAGAAGCTCACATAGGAGATCACATAGGAGATCAAGAACCCCCCGGCCCTCCATGATCGCATAATTTGCTCACATTTCCCAAATGTCACCTCTGAAAGGTACAGTACACTGTGTCTACAGTACTATAGTGTGTGTACATTGTAAGTGTGTGGAGAATTAGTGTGCAGGTTATGGTAACACCTCCTCAATTCCTCATGGAGTGTATTATCTGGGAATACTTAGTAATTGTAATGAAACATTGCCTTTTGTCTCCAGGACTAGTAGGGGCTGTCGATGATGTTTGAATAAAACATGATTTTACCAGCAGGTATTTCTCCTGTAGGTATTTTACAGGAGGCAGACTGTATAGTAATATCCAGCTCAACCTGCCTCACCGCATATTACACAGTACGATTTCATTGTTGAAATAAAAATAGGAACTTTTAAAACTGTGGTATGTGCAACATTAGGTTCATGCCCAACTAGCATATGAATATGATAATAAACAGTGATGATAAACAGTGATGATAAACAGATAATTACTCCAGCACAAACTCAGGAACTCTTTAAAACTATGATATTATTATTGTTATTTATTATAAGTATGATATATTTTGACCTCAGAAAAATAAAACCTCACGACCGTTATGTCTGCAGGACTATAACACTGATTACCCTTATATTATAACATGGTTCCCATTATCTCAAATTAGGACATGGACCGACGATTTACGGCCTCCTATCTTCATTGTTCGGTTTCTCAAACACATAATTGCCACAAAACGCTGAGTGTATAAAGGGTCAGGGCTCCTGAACGGTTACACTTATATACAGTCGGTTAATAAGAGCCATTATTTTAATTGTCATTATTTGTGTATCAGCGCTTTTGTTATTATTCTGTCCTCAGAAAACTGCAAGTTGATGAGCAGTGAGCAATTGAGCATGTATTTGGCAGATAGCCAGGAACTAACCACCAGCTCACTACATGTAAGGGTTCAGAGTTATTAAACCCTGTGTGACAGTTAGAGGCCATCAGGTCACACGCAACTAATAGTTATAGGTCGTTACACAGTAGCAGCAGCTGCCAATACTACAGTGTATGTGTGTTGTTATGTATATAGATTTAGCGTGGATTTGTGTGCCGTGTTATACAGAGTATAGCGGGTTATTTATACACCTTACTTCTTCTTGTGGTATGTTTATATTAGAGTTAGTGAAGCACTCACTAATGATAATAACATGGGCAATACACATAATATGTCATAACATGTCAGTAAGACAGGTAAGTGACAAGTAGGAGATTGTTTGCCAATATTGAGATCTGGTATGTTGAGTACTTGTACTACTTGTCGTGATTAATGAACTGTGAGAGAACCAATCACCATGATTAGTACCGATACTTATATCAGACTGTAGCAATTAATACAAATGACAAAGTGGCACCTTGATAGGATTATTAGTCGCTAAATTATTACATCATTTTCCTTAAATAAAAGAACATTATATACTGTACAGAACAGTATTATACTGATACTACAGCATAATTTATGTTCGATCAAACTCAGAAAATACCGCATAATTTGCGACAAATAACCGCACCAGATTAAGAAAGGGCACAGTACCTGTAATCGGTCCATCATGTTCAGATAGTTGTTTGAGTCAGCCTGCATCTTGGAGCATCTGTAGATTATTACAGTGTCAAAAAATCTGTTTTCATTAATAATTGTAATTTCTTTCGGAAAAGAGCTCTAGCTTTATAAACTAACGATTCTTTAAAAGGTCCATTAATTTTAAGGCACAAGCCATTATAAACAGAATAGCGAACATTTATACAGCGGTTAATAAATATTACATTTTTATGTATTAATATTTTAAACATATAAATATTACATTTTTATTACATTGAAATTAAGAGTTTTTTAAATAATCAGTACACACCTCTCCTCCAGCGCATTTCTCTCATTGATCCAGCCCATGTGAAAGTTGCTGACGTCATGAAGCTTCCCCTGGAACTCCTCCTGGCTAGACACAGTCTCCATCCCCAGCGCTTGTAGACACTACCAGGGTGTATAATTAGTTAATGATTAATTAATTATTTATAACATAATTAAATATTGAATTAAAGTGATTATCAGTGATTGAAATTTGAACAGCTTATCCCGCATCCAATGAAAAGCCGGCTAATAGCTCTTATATATTTAGATTTTGTGCCTATATTAAATTACATAGATCATAATATAATTTATAAACGTCATCGTCATGCTGTCTATAATACCATTAAATAGTGGATTATTTCCAAAATTACTTTGTTTATTATATATTTGTATTACTTTATTGTCTGAAAATTACCACAATACTGTCAATCGACAAGTAATAAAAGCAACGAAACAAATTGGCCCAATGCAGTGCTTGCAGACACAAAACGTCTGTGGTTTGGGTCATTCATGTACAAAACAACGTCAACTGTTAGCAAAGCTTTGCATGTTTACGTTTCTGCTTTCAGCATGATATAAATTAATTATTTCTATATTTTAAGTTTAGATTGCGGATTGGAAACTACTCTTCACATGATAAAGTTGCGACAATAAGTTATTGCACGTAAATATTAGAGTTAACTAATAAAAACAAACGGTCAATTACTTTTAAGCAACTAATTGCAAACAATCTACAATTATTCGAGTTTTAACCGAATTAATATTAAACCAGGTCCAGATCAGCACCTAAAGAGTAACGGGCGGTACTATCAGACCACCAGTACCTACCATCGGGTATATAATTGAAAAGGAGCAAGCGTAACTATACTATCATGATCTAGTAGATAATATGAAAGAAGCAATATCATTATGTGACCCCGATACAAGGATATCATTAGCTGATTCGGATACAAAGCTGCAGATCGGACTGGCCCATCAACCTTCAATGATATAAGTAGCGTAAAGACTCTTCAAGAATCAAGGGTAATTCTAGTACAATATGTAGTTAGCTAAATGGCTTGCTTGTTATGTATTCAATATTTATGTATTCAGATGTTTTCTTTGTTTACTAGTTAGAAGGGTCTCTGTTATCGATCTGTCACGTGTGATCAAGTAGTAGAAGTAGTAGTACACGTGATCTAACTAAAGTAATACTGTAATAGCTACCGAGCGCAGCCTGTTGTCATATCAATCCGTAGTGCGTAGTCACAGCTACAGATGTTAAACTAAAGAATTTCAAAACGTCTATAAAATGCAATATATTAACCCACACTTAAACACTCTCTGATGGTAACTAACTAGTGACAAGCTCCCATGTATGAGTGTACACTGTAACGGTGCTTTAAGACTAGCAGTTCAAAGTGCACGATACCAATGAGACCACCTACGGTTTTACATGCAATCTAATGATTACCAAAGTAATATATTAATATCTTGTTTAGCGTCGTGTTATATATTAAAGTATAAACTATACGATGTATGTATTAGATACCGTAAACGTAAAACATCAACCCAGGGATAAAAACTTCAAACGTCAACCAAGTGCCTCCGACAACTAAATTGTTTTATCAACTAAAAATATGTCGAATTTGTCAGTAGGGCGTCGTGCCTCCTTGTGCTTACTTAAAACTCCAAATATATATCTACATTATCTAGAACGAACAGACGGCACAAATCAGACATGCTCAAGAAACATAACTGAAGAAAGCACCAAAAATACAAGTTCAGACAACAGCAAGTCAGCTCAACAAAATATCTCGTGTAGCATCTGAACACGTGTTAAACACAATATCGTATAGTACAGGGAGCTCTCTCTCTCTCTGTCTCTCTCAGAGAGTTAGCTATATCGTATATAATTATACACATAGCTTGTCAACAAGTACCGTCACTAACTGGCCTGCTCCTTCACAAATTATATCACTAAAGACTTATTGACAGGGTCGCAGTATTTCTTCTGCACGTTTGTTTAATGGCGATATATACAAGAGAGTATAACTGCATACTTTATCTTCAATTTCATGTTTCGAGAACACACACATGCATGCTGTGACAGAGGCGGGCCTGCAAATCGTTTGATTGTAAATCTGCACGAACCGATGCATATCACAATTTGCAGGATTGGAATTGTCAACACAATTTATCTTTGTCAGGAGAAAAACTTATTAAAACCTGCTTGCGGTATGTTTTATTCTATCATATTTTATTTTTTATTTAACATTAAATCACAAAGAAATGCAACTAAAGTATCATGCTCGGTTTTAAAGAAAAACAAAGAAGGACCCGCTGTGATGTACTCCATGTGACGAATACATTATATCATCACCTCGCCATTCTTTTGACTGGATTCCAGATCTTGATGCATACATCATGAGCATGAAAAACTATGTATTAAAAAAAGAGAAATATTTGTTGAAATAAAAAACGCATGGCCCCTCCCAGAACCTCACAATATGTACTTTCAACATTTATCTCAATACACATAATATAGGCTCTAGGTGGCAATACACGTTACATAGCTATAAAGTAATGGAACAGTTTATTCGGCAGAAATGTATTTGCTTTAACACCGGCTACAAGCACATTATTTCAGACAAGGACCTAAGCCTGCGGCAGGCTATTTGAAATATAACGATAATATAGCCTAGTGCTTGAGACAGTTCATGTTTTTTGAGAAACCAAACACAGTTTTCACCACAACCAATCCACCCCATTCGCTGAGTGTTTCAGCTGTGGTGTATGATTATCTGACTTTTAGGCTATCGTATATCAGTACTAGTACTGTATCTCCAATAATGTCATAATACCATATTGTGCTAGTATCAATTACAACACTGTGGTTAATAATTGTTGTAAGGAACGATACACAATCTATCATGCAGGTAAAGACGATCTATGGCTATTTGGACCCATCCACCTAATGCATGCACCAGTATTATAACTTTTGTTATACAGTGATCTCTTCCAGCATTAAAATTGCAAAATTGATTAAAAATAATAGCTTACCCTGTTAAATCCGGCCATGTCCACGAAGCCTGAATCTATACCACTGGCCATCTTCACAGATTCTGATATTTGACGGATTTGTGCTAACGGGAGAACGATTTGGGTTATTTGAATTAAATAAAATACAGATTTGAAATACTAAACGAAATATGTAACAACGTAAATAAACCATACAATTTTATCATTCAACAGCCTGCGCCCAGGACAAAAGAAGCTTGCACGCAGGCTGAGCCCAGGACAAAAACTGTGATTAACCCAGTACAAGGAAGCAGCTGTTAGGCTCTAATGCAGAGGCGTAATGTTAACATTTGGTACCCCCTGGAGCTTTTTATACCCCAAATATTTATTTTTGGCGTCAACTGAACGCTAAGTTGCTTGTAAACCACTCATAACTTGGGTAATGAGCAGTTAATTGCTTAAACTGAATCAAACGTGTTACTCCCGAACTGCCACAAACAGTGACTGCACTGTGTCATGTGATACCGTACCACATGGCAAACCATGTGGTACCACGCGCCACAGATGCACCACTCTAAACCACTTAAACTGCCCACCAGACCTTCATGTGCTACTAACTCCGTAAAACTATTGATAAACCTACTCCGCAAAACTACTAATCTATACTAATCTATTCCAACGGTTTTTTCCACAAACCTACCTATACTACAAATCCTAATGAAATAATAACACCACTTTTATGATAAAACTTATACATCCCAGAAAAGTACTTGAATAAGATAATGCTTGAAAATATATCGCTAAGTCTGATGACAGAAAATGATACTTATATGTAAAAATCAAACACCAATATTGACCAAAATATATTATCGATAAAGTTTTTCAAGTTCATGAAGGGGCAGTTTAAACAGAAAAGTTTTAAGAAAAGCTTTAAATGATTGCAGTGATTGAGCCAATGAAATGGTATCAGGCGGACGATTGTAGATCTTTGGAGCCACCACAGAGAAGCTACGCTCACCAATGATGAAAGTCTTTTAAAAATAACTGGCTACAATGAGCATTTTAATAACAATAAATAGTAGAGATCAAAAACTTTAATTTCCAACAGAACATTTTTTAGAAACACACCTAACAAATTCTACCCTGCTAACAAGCTATTAAAAGCACTAATAGTTTCGTATGAAGTTTAAGATCTAAACAATTACTACCCTTCAAAATATGAATAAAAATGTTTAAGTAACAAAATATTTGACTTTACCAGTCTCTTGACGTTTCAAAATGAAACTGAGGTTGAAGATGCAGTTACAAAAGGCCACTGGTTCTCAATGGTTACTGAAAAAACTTTTTCCAAAATAAAAGTTTTAAAGCAGTCCATATCTGCTTTTCTGTGAACTAAACAGCTTAAATAGAAAAACTCATTCCCTTCTTATTACAACAATATTTAATTTAAAAGTGTTTGTTCTCAAATAAAAATTGTCCAATAACACTTTACTACACTTCCGTATACTTGGTATTTCATCCTTTATCATAATAGTAGCAAAGTTCTTAAAATCCTTAGGAAACCCTTAAACACCACCGACTAATTAAATATCTAACAATGCATGTATAAACGTGACTAACACTATCCCTAAAACCCCCAAGTGATAAACGTGGGGGTTTATCATGATCACGTGGTAATAAAAAATAAATTCATCACGATAAAAGATAAATCGTTGTGTTTACGTTTTACGTTACTTGAGGACTCGCCAACGGATAGAGCGTTTTGATCATGTGTTACGTTATTAGAGGATTCACTACGGATAAAGGGTTGTGATGACCGGGATGACATAGAGTAAATGCATATGCTGTCTCGTCTCATTCTACTTTTCCAAACCCAGCTGGCACTTAAGCGTATCATTTTGACTTAAGTCACTTTTAAATTTTGTCTTACTAAAACCTTCCCCTGCAGGGTTACCACACCCAACAGGTAGGCAAAGCATCTCAATGCTGTCCTCTCGTGCAGTGGCGTAACGAAGGGCCCTGCTGACCCCGCTGTGCAGGGGGGCGCCGTCTTCAGTCGTTTGAATGTGGGACAATTTCGAAAACTTAACTAAAGTACTAGCAAAACTGTGCGTTTCGCTCTAGATACACACTTTTTTAGAGATTTTACCGGCGTATTCTCTAAAATCACCTAATTTGTTCAATTTTGGGGAGGGGCACCAAAAGGGGAGGGGGCGCCAACAGGGGGAACCTTTTCGGGGGGGGGGGGGGGCGCCAACAGGCAACGTTACACCACTGCTCTCGTGGGCTATCTTAGCCCAGCCTCTCTTAAAAAAGCGTTGTGATTATGCGTTACTTTAATAAAAGATTCACTAACGGATAAAGTGTTGTGATCAGGGTTGTCACGTGCACGTGTTATGCCAATAGAGGAATCACAAAAAATAAAGCGCTGTGTTTCGGAATGATATTGACACCCACAGCTCAGATATGTTAAACTTTTTTCCTTTTGATCTCTCATCTAGACTGACTTCTGTTTGGCAAGATGTTTCCACAAACCTCCTTCTGAACGGAAATCTGCTCAGAAAGTCACACAGTGTGTTCTTTTTGCCCTCAATGTGTACAATGTCAGAGGAGTAGTTGCAGAGCTCCTGTACTGGCATTTCTTGATCAATGCTGGATCTGACTTCGAGAACAGAACGTCGCTTGCTGACATAACAGAAGACTTTTACATATTGTTTTAACTGTGAACGGGTGAACCTAGGGTGTTCCTAAAATACAATATACATCTTTCAGTAATCAATTGCTATCACCTTCAACCATGGCATCAACGAGTATCACCCGATAAGGTGCATCGAAGCGGCGACGTCTTTCAAGAATTTGGTCAGGAATATGATTTCAATAATTTTAGTTAAACTTGATTAACGATCACCAGCTCAAGCTGCGCTGTGCTTTGCTGTCGAGATGTTAGTGAAGTTGGTAGACTCGGGGCTCACAGACGTAACCTCCTACACCACCTGAAGGTTGACCTCTGGAAGCGTTTCATCTTGCTGGAGTCGTATGATGATATTCTTCATTTGAGAGAACTTGCTAGTAACCGTAGTTATTGGAGTAAATTGTTCGACTTTATACTTGAGTACAAGTCAATTTGACTTTTGGGACATATAATCTTACAAAGGATCTCGTTTAGGTTCTAAATTATTTTAGGATTGTTGACATTTGTAAGATTGACATGTTTGATAATAACCCTTCCAGATCTTTGCTCTGCAAAGCAGAGCAAGGATCTTGTCAACGATGCGAAGCAAGAACTTAAATGATTTAAATGTGAAACAAATATTAATTTAATAATTTTTTGAAATTCAATACAATATTATAAAAATTTATTGTTTTGTATGCGAGCAGCGCTTTCAAATAATATGTTTGCGCACGTAAATATAAATTAATATTTTACGCGCGGCGCGACCTTTGCTTAATTTTGCATTGTGTGTAGCGTGACAAGTATGTCAAATTGAAAATACAAATTTACAAAACAGCAACATGAAAGCAATTAACACGCAAGTATGAAAAAAATTGAATGTGATGAAATATTTCAAGTCTATAAAATAAAAAGTTTGTCTAGACCATTTATTTAATTAGTATTACATATTTAAATTAAGTATTTTTGCATTTTTATCCTGATACTTTCATTAATATTTTCTTTTTTAGTTTTGTTTTGATTCACGATGTTAATCTTTCGCATTTCGCTGATTTGCATACTGTGGTTGCGAGATCGAGAAGCATTATTGGATGCGCGGCCCAGTAGTGCATCGCGCTACAAGTTTTGTTTACATTTTAGAGGCTAATATTTCGCGTCATCAAATATATCAATCAAAATTTTACTATTTATATTACTATATTCAATATTGTTCTTATGCATCCAGAATATAATTTGCATATTACACGATTGACGATCAATTGCGCTCCTACTAAATCACTCGCCCAAATTTTCAGCAAATTCCTGTGAAAAGGCCTTTTAGGTATGAAATTGATCTAAGTCGGTGTATTTTTGGACGCTGATTCCGAATAAACCCTCATGACGTAGGGTAAAAATGCTTCCCTGGACAGTTATGGGCAAAAACCGTTTTGGTTACGTGATATGCTAGTAAAACATGAATTCGATTGTTTAGGGCTCAGGTTAATATATCGTGACATGTAATTGTAAGATAACAAACCTCGCGCGCGCGGCGCTTACATCTGCACCTGAGAATCTCTCAGCAATGTGTGGCTGTCTGCGCGGCGGGCTGCGTATTGTGTATATAGCTGAATTTAAATTTAGATTTATTTGTAAATGTATAATAATATTAAATATGTATTGATTGTTTTGTGGTAAATAAAAATTTTGTTTTACTAAATTTTGTTTTACTAGGATTAATTAGGGTTGTGGTAAGGGTTATGGATAGCTTTGAGCTTCGGGGCTGTGCAGCTAGGGTTTGATTGACGATGTCAACCATTCCAGATCATTGCTCTGCGAAGCAGAGCAACGATCTTGTCGATGCGAAGCAAGAATATTACCAGTAACAGTTGGAGTTGTATACCGCTCACCAAGCAATCCACTTGCTAACTTCAATGCACAGTAAAAAGAAGTTCTTACTGTACTTAAAGGACATAAAGCATGCATGTTAGGGGACTTCAAGTTAACATAACCAATTTATCAGGCCCAGATGAAGATATATTTGAGGAAGTCATTTATAGTCATGGGTTCACGCCCACAATATCCATTCCCACACATCAAATGCCCCACTGCTCAAAAACGTGCATTGATAACATACACACTAATGACATTCACTCATCAACTATATCTGGAGTTATTCAGGATAATGCTTCACATCACCAGCCCATTATCTGCCTTCAAGTAATGACTTCTGATGCTAGTTCGGAACAGAATAAATCACCTGAAAAACAACCATTTATTATAACTATAGTAATGCAAACCTTGATTTAAAGCTCTGTGAAGAAATTGAAAACGACATAGATACATTCTACCACAGATGTGACTCTTTTGAATCCTTCATGGATCTGTTTCAAGAAAAGATAGATATATCTTGCAAATTGGCTTCACCAAAAACCACCAAATGAAATAATATAACAAATCCATGGATCACAAACGGCCTTATTAACTCTGTGGAGAAAAAGCTAGACTTTATTTTGAATGGTAAAGAACAAAAACATTGTTAATCCCAGATGGGGATCTGGAAAGACATAATGTTATAAAATATACAATGCAAGTGCATGTTTACTAATCTTAATCTACTTTACAACTCAATAGCCCAAGTCACCATACCTGTAGTATATTCCATGGTAATAGAAGAACTTTAAAGTTTTTCAAATTGTTGCTATAATTGATTTAAATAAAAATTTGTTGTTTTCTTGAAATTCTTTGTAGGTTTATAACCTACCAGGACGCGCGCCGAGTTGGACTCGTCGACGGTCCATAATATATGGAACAAATATTTTACGAGTATCACCCGTTAACAAAGTCCTCCAAGGCTAGGGTTGGGGTTGGGATAAGGGTTTATGTAAAACCGTTTTTTACAGCTGCAAAACCATAAAAACCAAAGTCACGTGAAATTTTTGGGCGAGCGAATTAGTAAGAGCCGACCAATTGTGGTCCTATAGTTTTGTTGTTACGAATTGAAATAGCATATTAAGTTTAATTGGAGAGGCTTCTTGGTTTGTGGAGACACTACTGACTACTAGTGCTGAAAAGTGCATTATTCAGAGCTCATGAAATATTTTGTGCATTCGAGTTAGATGAATTAAAGAGTAAAGGGGTACCCTAAAAAGACCCCCTGATATTTGGCAGGGTCCTTCATCAGTTAATCCTCGATCTTAGTTGTCTGATAGTTGAGCCAACCTAGGAGATATTAGTCATACTATGTGTAAATTTGCATAACAAATCCAATGGGATTCTTAGATAACTCCCTGGTCCCTAGACTACAAGACTAGGTAACACTGGGATAAAACCCTGGACGCTCCAACCAATCGGGCACTTTGCGGAGGCTTGGTTATTGCTATAAAATGTTTAGTTAGTATAGTGTAGTAATAATAGCCATGGGAATAACATTTTTTGATAAATTGATTGATCGCAGTGGGGAATTGATTTATCCATGTAGTAATAGTATAGATGACTTTTACTCTGCAAGTTGCAGGTTAGAGCCGGAGCCCTGCCATCAATCTCTGGAGTGGGTTAAAGATTTCGTCTATGCAGCCCCTATGGTTAAATTAGCCAAATGATCACATAGCCATGATTGAGGCTTGAGGGTTTAGTGAGGAGGGTGGACTAGTCATTAGGATCATGAATCTCGATTCATATGTACTAGCAGACTGGAGTGTGCAACCATATTGAGTTGTTAGAAGCAAAAAGCTTGAATGCTAGTAACACCTATCTGTGAGCATCCAATGTTCATATCTGTTTCTGTACAATTGGTATTAAAAGACTGTTATTTATTGAATGACCATCATCCCTCTATCTATGTCGTCACCATGCTGCTATTGTTAATCAATATTGTTTACAATTACTTTACACTCCCTAAAATTTGCTTTATTACTATTGGATGGATATTTCTGTAAAATGGATCCAATGTGACATGAAATGTATTAATTTGGATTGATCAATTTTATTTTGCCTAACTAATCGTATGACTTTCAAATGTAATAAACACTTCTTCAGATCATAGGTTATAGCTTCTATCAGGGTTAAACCAAAAGAAAGTTAATGGTAGCCCCAGGGGATGCGTTCCAGCAGTACTTTTGGGTGAGCAACAATTTTTGTATTCAAGACTTTAATGTTATTATTCCACCAATTTTAAATTGTTGTATAAAATTTGACTTTATTCATGTATTTATTTTGACTTCAATCATACTGGGTACATAGTGAAATTGCCTTTAAGACAAACACAATCGTTGAAAAATGAATCTCATTTAAAAATCTGATTCAAAATTTCATCAATTTAGGGAGACAAAAATGCTGGATATGATGTGCTTCTCACCAACATGAAACAAGCTGTTTCTGCTTCCAAAGAGTTTCATGAGATTTTAAGAGAACGGGGTAACTATGAGGAAGCATTCTCCAAGTCTTTGAGACGATTGTCTGAAAAGGCAACAACTATTAATGCAGTTGGGTAAGTTAAGGGGAAAAATTTTTGTAAACATGTTCTTTCATAGCTTGGTATATACAACACTGTGCAAGTTTACTACAACTAATTTGTACATAAAATAGAAGAAACAACTACTTACTCAAAAGCTAAGGACCACACGTTATTACTTGAGCTGTTGTCACCTAACCTCTCTCCAAAATATGCTTTTCTTCCCTAAAAATATGTATTAATGATAACTATCAGGTCCTTTTTACCTGTGTGGACTGTCGTCAAGAAGTACATGGAGAACATGAGCAAAATTCATGGGGATTTTTCTACTAAATTCAAGGAACTTTGTCAAGAATTAAACACCTTCAAAACAGATTCAACTTCAAAAACTAACAAAATGGTATGTTCATTCAGACTTTGATAAGATATAAGTTTTAAAACATGTTACTTTTTATTTGCACTGGTGTCCAAATGTTAATCCGATTGTTACATAAATACATCTGATTTATTTCTATTATCTCAGCTGAAAGATCAAGCAGATGTAGTAAAAACAGCTGCTGCACTGAACAACATAAAGAACTCACTGGAGCATGTAAACAAGTGCAAGAAACTTTACCAACAGAAACACAAGGATCTGATAGAGAGTGAAGAAAGCTTCACCAAAGCAGGATTAGCTGCTGATAAAACTGATAAGGTGGGTTCTATATTTTTTATACGCAACGATATAACCATTGTAGCATAACATTTCGTAATTATACCTACTTCCTTGTAAATAATTGGAATTCTTTTTTATTAACTTAAATTATCTTCAGGATTACAACTATTATGTATACAATAAAGTAATAACCACTTTTGTACCCTTGTACTCTTGTATCTTGGTATCCTCGTATCCTTGTACCCTTAGCTTGTATCCTTAGCTTGTATCCTTGTATCCCAGCACAATTTTTGTCTATAAAGTACAAATTGTTTCATCGTCTTAATTACATATCCATAACCCGTATCACTTTTACATTATATACCTTTGTTGTCAAGGCCCTTTGCAGCCGATAAGCACTAAGCAACTGGTCGATATTTTCATCTCTACAAATCCTAGGAGACAGAGAAAATGCAACAAAAGTTCACAAGAAGTCAGGACGCGTTCGTGCTAGCTGAGAACACGTATAAAGCAAGTGTTGAGAAGTACAACAAAGCTCAGGAGGAGTACAATGAGGACATGACTAACTCTTGCAAGGTTATTGTTATTTTATTTTACAACATTTTCCGCCATATCTTTGTAAAGTAACTGCTTGATTTAGTTTTTGAAAGCTTATTTGAAATGTCTGTTTTGCAGTTTTAAGGTTCACTAATGATTTCTTTTAATTGTTGTGTAAAATACTAAATTATGGGAAATTCCTTCGCTTAAAACGAGTATTTTTTCTTCAGTTTTTCGGAGAGATGGAGCAAACTCATCTGAACCTGATTGTGGAGTTTGCTAAAAGGTTCGGGGACATAGAGACAGATCTGATCGAGGAGCTGAAGAAGAACTGTGAGAGTATTCTCGGAGGTTAGCATCATTTATCTGGAGTTTATAATTGTCCCGGTTTTTATTTGCATATTTTTAAGCCCAAATTTTGCGAAATGTAACCTGTTCTCAACTTGAAAAAGCTCGTTATCCACGATTTGTCTAAATTTATTTTAAATTAGATTTGAATGAGCTGTTGATGAAGATTTTATTGTAGAAGCATTAGCAAATTATAAAGTATTGGGCATTTGGGCATGATGCTGATTACAGATATTAGCTGAACATTAAACACCATTTCAAAGGTGAAATTGAATCGTTGAACAGTTGTACGAATGATTTTATTTTTATTTTTAAGATTAAAAAAAGGGAATTAATAATTTTCAACGATTTCTGATGACGATATTATCATGACTGTAAACTTTTCGTTCTGCACTGAAGATTAATTTTAGAAACACTTACGCAAAACATTTCCTTGTGTCTAGGAGATAATGATGAAGATATTAAAGGTAAGTTTGCTGTGTCAAGTAGAAGGCTACTCAGGCTACTGCTAGTCGCTATGATCTTACACGTTGCAATGACCGACACTGCAATGTCACTTGAATGGCAATAAAAATCGAAATCTTTGAAAATGTGATCTTTATATTACTGATTCATAATCGAAATATTCATAAAAATGTTCGTAAATTGTCAATAGAAAATTCTGAGGGTGGCTAGTGTCAATATCAGTAAAATAAGGCTGACTCACTGGCATGGTAGTGGCATCACTGAGTCCAATTCTAAGACTATGAGTATACACCATACAATAAATTACTATGTAATTGTAAACCATTTCACTCGTTATTTATTGATTTTAAAGATAAATGCGATAAATTGCTTGAACTGCTAAGCATGATATTTAATGTTTGACAAACGAGTAGAAAACATTTACCATTTTAGCATGCTAATATGTGATGAGGATTAACTTTTTCTATGTCACTATGAACTTAGTATCTTCGGAGGCAAATAAGCTTCGCCATAGAAATGTAATGTACAAGTACTAAATGTGCATGCCGTTTTTAAACTGTGCTAAAATATTTGTAATATTAATCGCATCAGTATCTTTTATAGTTGGGCGAATCTTTTGCCTCACACGTAGAATTGTTAGGGAAGCCGACGTCACCATTACGAAGTCATCGGATGACGTTTCAAAACATAATTGGAAGCATGATGATCGTACATAAACAGTAGATCATGTCTCATAATACAAGTCTATATTATCATGTCTGTATAACATATAATGTAGATATATTACAAATTAACTGAACTCTACGACAGAAATGTAACCACTCGGCTCTCTAAATATTAATTACCCAGATATTCACTGCTCAGCTACTAAAAAGTGATTTTAATTTAATTTAATAAAACAATTATTTAATAAGACAATTATTTTTATAATAATTTTAAAGTAATTATAGGACTAGTGTGAACCTCACCATCGTAAATGTTCCCAGCTAGCTGGCCCCTCTCTACCTCAACCCCTCGCTAGCTGACCCCTCTATATATCTACCCGAACCCCTCTAACCCCTCTTTCCTCCCTCAGGTCTGGTAGGATACACCCCAGAGCACCTGATAAAGATATTCGTGGAGGAGAAGACTACAGGGGTGGAGATGTGTCCTCTGATGGAGACGGAGCTGTTAACAGTGAAGGATCCTCCGGTGCTCAGCATGACACCTAAACCTACACACAACCCGGCCCCTCATGAGAAGAGCAGGTAGGGCCGCTTATTCATTGTTAGTTTGTTTGTTTACTAGGTTGTTTGTTTGTTTACTAGGTTGTTTGTTTGTTTACTAGGTTGTTTGTTTGTTTGTTTATTAGGTTGTTTGTTTGTTTGTTTATTAGGTTGTTTGTTTGTTTACTAGGTTGTTTGTTTGTTTGTTTATTAGGTTGTTTGTTTGTTTACTAGGTTGTTTGTTTGTTTATTAGGTTGTTTGTTTGTTTACTAGGTTGTTTGTTTGTTTACTAGGTTGTTTGTTTGTTTACTAGGTTGTTTGTTTGTTTACTAGGTTGTTTGTTTGTTTACTAGGTTGTTTGTTTGTTTATTAGGTTGTTTGTTTGTTTACTAGGTTGTTTGTTTGTGTGTTTACTAGGTTGTTTGTTTGTTTACTATGTTGTTTGTTTGTTTACTAGGTTGTTTGTTTGTTTATTAGGTTGTTTGTTTGTTTGTTTACTAGGTTGTTTGTTTGTTTACTAGGTTGTTTGTTTGTTTACTAGGTTGTTTGTTTGTTTGTTTACTAGGTTGTTTGTTTGTCAAACCTTTGTGTTTTGTTGTTTGTTTGTTTACTAGGTTGTTTGTTTGTTTATTAGGTTGTTTGTTTGTTTGTTTACTAGGTTGTTTGTTTGTTTGTCAAACCTTTGTGTTTTGTTGTTTGTTTGTTTACTAGGTTGTTTGTTTGTTTACTAGGTTGTTTGTTTACTAGGTTGTTTGTTCAAATTCTGCCTGAGTCACTTGCTAGCTGTAGTGTTTACAATACAACCTCCCTCCCTCCCTCCCTCCCTCCTTCCTGTACTATAACATAGAGCGAGTCTGGTTCTAATACCTAAGTAGAATATTCCGTTTACCACTGTTTTATTCGGTCTGCTGCCCCTGTAACTGAACGAGTTGGTAACCCAATACCTGGGGAACTCATCACACCACCTTGACAATCCAGCTTTTAGATTTTAGAACACTCTAGAGAGAGATATAGTGAATTGTTTGGTGTATAGCTAACTTCGTACCTTTATTGTTTTGAGTTGGTTTTGGATGGTTGATTTTTTTGGATGGTTGAGTTTGTTTGTTTTAGTTTCTAAAGTTTCATGATAAGGCGGTGTTTTGGTGCTGTTTTGGGTATTGAGGGGGGGGGGGGATCATGTTTTTTGTCCGTTTGGCAGCTATATTTTCAAAACGGACAAAAAATAAAGCGGACAAAAACGGACAAAAACGGACAAAAACGGACAAAAATTGAAATAACATTTAGATGCTTCCTCCTCTTCCTCCTCCTCCTCCTCCTCCTCCTCCTCCTCCTCCTCCTCCTCCTCCTCCTCCTCCTCCTCCTCCTCCTCCTCCTCTTCCACCTCCTCAGTCATCCTCCTGAGTCCTCCTCCTCCTCCTGAGTCCTCCTCCTGAGTCCTCCTCCTCCTCCTCTTCATCCTCCTCCTCTTCATCCTCCTCCTCTTCCTCCTCAGTCCTCAGTCCTTCTCCTCAGTCCTCCTCCTCATCCTTCTCCTCAGTCCTCTTCAATCCTCCTCCTCAGTCCTCCACCAGTCCCCCTCCTCCTCCTTCTATTCAGTCCTCCTCCTCATCCTCCTCAGTTCTCCTCAGTCCTCCTCCTTCTCAGTCCTCCTCAGTCCTCCTCCTGAGTCCTCCTCCTGAGTCCTCCTCCTGAGTCCTCCTCCTCCTCCTCCCCCTCCCTCTCAGTCATCCTCCTCAGCCATCCTCCTCAGCCATCCTCCTCAGTCCTCCTCAGTCCTCCTCAATCCTCCTCCTCTGCAGTCCTCATCATCCTCCTCAGTCCTCCTCCTCTTGGGTCCTCCTCCTCCTCTTCATCCTCCTCCTCTTCCTCCTCAGTCCTCAGTCCTTCTCCTCAGTCCTCCTCCTCATCCTTCTCGTCAGTCCTCCTCCTCCTCAGTCCTCCCCCAGTCCCCCTCCTCCTCCTATTCAGTCCTCCTCCTCCTCCTCCTCAGTTCTCCTCCTTCTCATTCCTCCTTCTGAGTCCTCCTCATTCCTCCTTCTGAGTCCTCCTCCTCCTCTTTCTCCTGAGTCCTCCTCCTGGGTCCTCTTTCTCCTCCTCCTCCTCAGTCCTCCTCCTCCTCCCTCTCAGTCATCCTCCTCAGTCATCCTCCTCAGCCATCCTCCTCAGCGATCCTCCTCAGCGATCCTCCTCAGTACTCCTCAGTCCTCCTCCTTCTCAGTCCTCCTCAGTCCTCCTCCTCAGTCATCCTTCTCCTCCTCCTCCTCCTGGGGGATCCTGTTTTTTATCCGTTTTTTCCGTTCGGAACCCTATATTATCAAAACGGACAAAAAATAGAGCGGACAAAAACGGACAAAAAATAACAAAAATGGAAATAATATTTAGATGCTTCCTCCTCCTCCTCCTCCTCCTACTCCTCCTCCTCCTCCTCCTCCTCCTCCTCCTCCTCCTCCTCCTCCTCCTCCTCCTCCTCCTCCTCCTCCTCCTCCTCCTCCTCCTCCTCCTCCTCCTCCTCCTCCTCCTCCTCCTCCTCAGTCTTCCTCAGTCATCCTCCTCCTCCTCCTGAGTCCTCCTCCTGGGTCCTCCTCCTGGGACCTCCTCCTCTTGGGTCCACCTCCTCTTCATCCTCCTCAGTCTTCAGTCCTCCTCCTCAGCTCAGTCCTCCTTCTCAGTCCTCCTCCTCATCCTCCTCCTCAGTCCTCCTCCTCCTCAGTCCTGCCCAGTGCCCAGTCCCCCTCCTCCTCCTATTCACTCCTCCTCCTCCTCAGTCCTCCTCCTTCTCAGTCCTCCTCCTCCTCCTCAGTCCTCCTCCTCCTCAGTCATCCTCCTCAGTCCTCCTCCTCCTCCTCCTGGGTCCTCCTCCTGGGTCCTCCTCCTCCTGGGTCTTCCTGATCCTCCTCAGTCCCCTTCCTCCTCCCCTCCTCAGTCCTTCTTTTACTCCTCCTCGTCCTCAACAGTCCTCCTTCTCCCCAGTCCTCCTCCTCCTCCTCCTGGGGCCTTTTCTTGGGTCCTCCTCCTGGGTCCTCATCCTCCTGGGTCCTCCTCCTCCTGCTTCTCCTCCTCAGTCCTTCTCCTCCTCACTGCAGAGGCACATATTAGGTGCGATGGGTGCGGGATCGCACAATTTACCGTTTTCCGCACATTTCCGCATAAGTTATTGTTTTCCGCACACTTCCGCACATTTTGTAATTTTCTGCATATTTCCGCATAATCTAGCATTTTCCGCGTAATTTCGCATAATTTTGAAATTTTCGCGTTCTGATTTTCGAGTGTAAAAACCAAAATATGTTAAAAGTCGGGCCCTTTTAGGACTGTGACCGGTGACTCAGGCCCTTTTAGGACCGTGACTCAGGCCCTTTTAGGACCGTGACTCAGGCCCTTTTAGGACCGTGACTCAGGCCCTTTCGGGACCGTGACCCAGGCCCTTTTGGAACTCATACCTAGGCCACGTGACCCAGTTACCACGTGACCCAGGCCATTTCGGGACCCTGACCCAGGCCCATTCGGGTCCGTGACCCAGGCCCTTTCGGGACCCTGACTCAGGCCCTTTCGGGACCGTGACCCAGGCCCTTTTGGAACTCATACCTAGGCCACGTGACCCAGTTACCACGTGACCCAGGCCCTTTCGGGACCCTGACCCAGGCCCTTTCGGGACCGTGACCCAGGCCCTTTTGGAACTCATACCTAGGCCACGTGACCCAGTTACCACGTGACCCAGGCCCTTTCGGGACCGTGACCCAGGCCCTTTCGGGACCGTGACCCAGGCCGTTATGGAACCCTCGTCGTTACCGTACTTCGATCATACCTGCAGTCCTTTTTATCTGGTAATGAGCTCTATTCGTTGTAGCGCTGGCTTTATAGTGGGCTTAATGGATCTTGGATCAAATGGTTTGCAAGTACTGACGATCAATGCCAACAAGCGTGTCACATATTTGCGATCACGCATGGGATCTGATCGACTCTATCAAGAGGCGTCTTCAAATAACTGTCTCCTGATCTCTACCAGATCAAGTCACTGTTCTCACTTTCTCAGATAATTGAATCTCAATATAGGTTCAATCATGGTCTTAGTAAAGAACTACACCCTCAGTAACACATAAACAGACCTATTTTTGATAAGAGCGGCGGTTATACGTTTAGAATTTCAAAAGTCCTTCAGAAAATGCAAAAGAAAACCGCACAATTCCCGCACAAATTTCGAAAAAATCGTCGCACATTTGCCGCATAATTGGTAAAAATTTACCGCACCTTACCGCACATTTTACCTTTATAGTCGGGTGCGGTACCGCATAATTTCGATTTTTTTACCGCACCTAATATGTGCCTCTGCTCCTCAGCCCTTCTCCTCCTCAGTCCTTCTCCTCTTCCTCCTCCTCCTCAGTCTTCCTCATATTCCTCAGTCCTCCCGCAGTCACCCTCCTCCTCAGTCCTCCCCCAGTCACCCTCCTCCTCATCCTCATCCTCCTCATCAGTCCTCCTTCGCCTTCTCAGTCCTTCTCTTCAGTCCTCCTCCTCCTCCTTTTCCTGGTTCCTCCTCCTCAGTCCGCATTCTCCTCCTCAGTCCTTCTCAGTCCTTTACCCAGTCACCCTCCTCCTCATCCTCCCCATCAGTCCTCCTTCTCCTTAGTCCTCCTCCTCAGTCCTCCTCCTCCTCCTCCTGGGTTCTCCTCCTGGATCCCTCTTCTCCTCCTCGGTCCTTCTCCTCCTCCTCAGTTATCCTCCTCCTCCTCCTTTTCCTCCTGGGTCCTCCTCCTTCTCCTCACCAGTCCTCCTCCTCAGTCCTCCTCATCCTCTTCATCCACTTACTTCTCCTCCTCATCAGTCCTCCTCAGTCCTCCTCCTCAGTCCTCCTCCTCCTCGTCCTCAGTCCTCGTCATTAGTCCTCATCAGTCCTCCTCCTCCCAAGTCATCCTCCTCCTCCTGGGGCCTTTTCCTGTGTCCTCCTCCTGGGTCCTCCTCCTCAGTCCTCCTCCTCAGTCCTCCTCCTCCTCCTCAATCCTTTCCCCAGTCACCCTCCTCCTCATCCTCATCCTCCTCATCAGTC